TGGTGTCAGAGGATATTTTTACTTTGTTACATGTCGTAAGTTGAAAGAGATGGCTTTATAGAGTAGAAGAGAGTATTGATAGAGCAGAAGAGTGTAGGCTCTAATGGCTACCACCAATACCATCTCGTGTACATCAGACTTAAAATACCCAATCCGGTGACGGTGAGCAGTGCAACAGGTGCGAGATATCAAATTCAAATTTAAAGTGGTAGACCTTGTTTAGGAGTAACGCTAGATACCATAAAACGTTATCAATGAGACATATGAAACTGAAACGAAATCTCCCTAATCAGGAAATATTTAATCGGAGCGAATTTATCCACTTATTGGCTATCTATGATACGAGCTTTCAATAAATGTGAGACATGAACAATTGCCGTAATGCAGTCTAAAGCTTGATTAAGAATTTCCGCACGATCTTCCTTATATTGAGATTGTGTAGGTGTAGGGTAAGGTAGGCTATCTCCATTGATTTCATACTAGGCTCTATTTTTGTCATATTTGTGTATAAGCAACATTGTGAGACACCCTTCATGTTTTTTTCTCAGTGATGACAACGTATCCGTGACCATCTTTGAAATTCATGCGGATCTCCATTTAACATAAGTGGAATCTTATTTCATTAAATAAAATAATATTATTGATAATAATAAATAACCAATTTCTTAGAGGGTTTTAGGGCAAGGAAATGTCCGCAGCGCTGCCCCAATGCGTGTTGGCAAACTTCACATGTCTTCGAAATATTTTTGTTCTTATATCTAAGATACGCAGGTTTCCTCACGTTTTTCTTCACCGTCAAGCATGTGGTAAAGTGATCTCTAGATATTTACTAACTGTGTTAGTTCGTCGACGCATTCGACAAAATGCGCTCAAAGCCAATACTAGAAACCTTCGTTTCGCAAGCGTCGAATTTGTACCAATAAATAGCAAGCAAAGTGTAGTCGGGAAATCCGGAGATGTAGACAAATCTTAAGACTCCAGACATTTCAAAATTAGTGAAGCTGTCTAGTTTAACGAATAGACAAACACGTATCACGTAGGTTACAAACATAATCCTTCTGTTTAGGACAGCAGAAAGACAGGGTTAGGGTTAATCTTTAAGTCGTAAGTCAAAAATTACGCATCTTCTTTCAGCAACAATAGCGTCGGCTCGACCGGGTAAAGATCACGCTCTCACAGAATACCAGTGTGAAATAGAGTTTCATGCTGCTGTGTTTCGTATGGTGAGTACTTTAGAGAATCAGACACCCTTTTTACTGCAAACGGGGCATTCCATCTTAGTTCTCAGGAGTGACAACGCATTTTAATTCTTAATCGAAGATATATGTAGATTGTAGATTACGATTTGCAGCAGGATCCACTTACCATCAGGTGGACTGTGTGTTCGTTTATCTCCCTTATTCTATAAAAACGAGATTAACACATCTCACGTGTTCCTACAAATGGGCCATGTCGACACCTACTTAAACAATATACGCAGTACACAGGGTCTAGTTTCGCCGGCCCCGATAAGATAATGGCAGCAGATAACGCCTTTCTATTGTGTGAATTATTGCCAACATTTAAATGATAGTTGTAAGCTGATTCTATGACCAGATCAAGTTTATTTCGTGCAAGATGATATTGTGACCATGATTTAAAAAGAAATGCTGCGGTGGTTTGGTTATGTAGAAAAATTATTTATAAAAGAGTGATAAATTTATGTTGAAAAAGTGAATGGCATAGTCCGCAACTATATTTACTCTCTCTTTAGACAAGTTTTTGGACCAAATTGTCGATATATTGAAGATGGGAGACAAACAGTAATCTTAACGGACAGGTACATAGATGTAAAGGAGGCGAGAAAGGTGTGTCTGCCAAATGGAAGTCCGTAATCTCAGCCTACCCTTCTGAGTGACAGGCGTGAATGTTTATGCTATTAAATTTCACTTTCTGGTAAAAGTTTTTTTTAAATTCTGAGATCAACACGAATGGCGCAACCTTCCAACTTAAATTTTTAAATAATCAGGAATAAAACTTGTTTTATGGATAATATCTCGTTTAATTAAAACTTTTTTTAAGAGCTAAAAATTTGGGGGGGGGGGGCTTTGTAGCATCCATGGTCACTAGGGGGAGTTTTTTACGTCCTAATGCCATAGTTAACGAAGACTAGGTAAGGAACTAAGGTCATCGTTGGTAATTAAAACCTTACATTACTTAAAGAACAAAATGTTAGAACCGATTTTTATCAAAACTTTAAAAGGGTAGAAGAGACTATAAAGAGTGAAGACCATTTTTTTATTATTCTAAGCCAGCGCTTAACTACAATCCCACCTGATGGTAAGTGGTGATGTAGCCTAAGATGGTGAAGCGCACTGACTTAACAAAAGCCTATTCACTCTTGCCTTGAAGACACCCACATTGTAATCAGATGGAAAGACAGATGCTGGCAACTTATTCCACTCCTTTGCTGTACGCATGATAAACGACGAAGCAAACTGTTTGGTTCGAATGCGTGGTAAGTCAACTACGCAAGGGTGAAGACTTGCCTAACGTCTGGTTATCCGATGGTGGAAGGGAGAGGGAGAAATTAAATTATGCAATTCCTGTGCACACACTCCGAAATGCATTCTGTAGAAAACCGAAAAGATGGCTACTTTGAGCCTGTGTTCGAGGTTGGAAAGATTGGTTTTAACCAAATTCGGGTCACCAATAAGCCTCTTAGCATGCCTTTCCATCGAGTCCAAAGCTGCTAGGTGGCATTTTGCAGCCCAGCCCGTATATGGCAGCAATATTCAATGCACGACCAGACTTGCGCTTTATATAAAGTAAGCAGCTGTCCCGGGGTAAGGTATCGGCGTACCTTTGCAAGGACTCCTAGCTTCCTTGAAGCTGCTTTGGCCTTGGACTCAATGAACCGCTCAAAGTTCAGATTTGAGGATATCTCAACCCCCAACAACTGAAGGCGGTCGGTGTATTCCAGTGATGCATTTCGAAAATATGGAGCCCAGGTGAGCTGGCTCCTTTTTGCAGTAAAGAGACACGCTTATGTTTTGGAGGCGTTTAATTTAACAAAATTGTCATCGTCACATTCGGAGACTACCTGTACTATGAGATTTACACGCTCTACTATAGCTTCTCTTTCGAACTGGATTTGATCTCCAATAGCCCGAGGACTTGGCTGGTATCTCTCCACAACTATGCTATCGTCTACATACACATAGATACCGGGCATAAGCAAATCATTAATATGTAACAGAAAGAGAGTCGCGGAGAGAACGGACCCTTGAGGAACACCGGCGTTAGTCGCCAAAGGGTCGGAAGAGTAGATATCGACGACGACCCGGAGAGACTGTTCACTCAGAAAGTCCTTTACCAAGTCAATCAGATCGGAGGATAAGCCGTACGCTGGAAGCTTATGCAAAAGGTTACCATGCCAAACTCTGTCAAAGGCCTTCGAGACATCAAGGGAAACAGCAAGTACTTCCCCACTGTTTTCGAGTGCCTCGCCCCACACGTGTGTGGCATACGCTAGAAGGTCCCCAGGTGACCGATTTCGGCAAAACCCGTATAGGCGGTCACTAAGGAGGTCGTTCTGTTCTAGGTACGCCATTAAGCGAGCGTTCAAAATACGCTCCATAATATTGCAGAGTATGGAAGTAATTGAGATTGGCCGATAATTGGCAGGATCGACACGACTGCCTTTTTTGGCCAGCTTCCAGGAATTTGGCACTATTCCAGTTCTGAATGAGAGGCGGAACAAGCGCGTCAACACAGAAGACAACTCAGGTGCACAAGCCTTTAGAACTACAGCTGATATACCATCTGATCCACTTTATTTACGTTTAGACACCGTAAGGTTTTAAGAACCTCCTTATTTGTGATACGAATCTCCGACATAGAGGTCACACAAAAAAAATCTTTTATATCTCTTATAGTTTATGAGATAATCATCAAAAACTATTTATTATTACATATTTCCGATTTAAAAAAAACCTGCATGTTATTCGGATAAAATTTGTTGTTGATCACTCCTAGGGTTTTTTTTATAACATTGGGTGACAAACGAGCACACAGTCCACCCGATTATAAGTAGATGCTGTGGCCCATAGACATTTACATTTATCCTCAATGTTTGTGGTTAAGTATCAAAACCAAATGTAAATGCGTGTTCACACCCCTGAGGACTAAGATGGAATGCCTCAATTCCAGTAAAAAGGGTCTCCGAATCTCTACACTCACCACACGATACACAGCAGCATTACGCTGCTATTTTTTTACGTTGGTATTCTGTGAGAGCGTGGTCCTGCCCCTGTCAAGCCGACCCATTCATGCTACAACTATAATATGGCTACAGCGTGGCTCTACCACGTTGAAAACGTTGCTTTCTAGCTGTTCGTAAAGCAATCAGTTTAGCAATTCCGAAACAGATAAATATTTTCAAACTCGTTATTCATTTCATAATAACATGCAAATGAACTCCTGATTTTCATAGGAGCCATTTATTTCGATATCACAGACAGACATTTCAATTACATTTATATGGAGAGATGTATAAATCAAATATTTTCAAAACGGTTATTCATGTCTTAATAACATGCAAATAAAAGACATCAACGTATTCTCGTGACATTAATTTAAAAACGGCACACCCACAAATCACACATTCAAGTTATAAACAGGACAACGGCTGACTTAAAAAATTAGAGGCTATAATAAATCAAACCCTGATTAGAATAAAATTAAGAATGTGAAAAAATCACATTCAGGGCGCTGAATGCCAACATAATTTAGTTTTGATCTTAAATTCTAACAAGTTATGGAAGTTAATCTATGCTAATAAGCTAACAACACAAAATCCACAAAATGATATATTTAGAATGTTAATGTACTGACGATCAGGTTATCTTACTTAAGATGATAATTAAAGCCGGTCCAAACAAACTCACACACACACGCATTCTCTATATCCCACCACCACGAACCTGACTGTTGTATAAAGAACTCCCAACATGTTGTACCTTTGAATTTGGTCAAATTCTCCTCATAGACTTGATCGTGTTTCTCGTGGTGCTCGCCCCGATGCCGCTTCGGCTGATGGTGACCGTCGTAGTATGCGCCTCCGTTGAGACTCTCTTGCATTGCCTCTTGCGGGTCGAACCCGAGGCGCTCTTTGTAGTACGCTTGCGTTGACATATTGTTTTACTAACTCACTTAGAACATAATTTGAATTTCGAACACTTTTCGGTCCACACTTCGTTCGCAACCACTAGAATCAATTACCGCGCGAGAGTCGCTCTGTCCAGCAACGGAGTTACGTAAAATGCGAGTTATTTTGAAGGGATCCGCCAAAATCCCGCCACAATCACCCCACTTACGGCAACCGAGGTCGTATTTAAACGATCCACCGATACTTTATCTCGACTGATGTCATCCAGTCGCAGCTCTGCAAAAGGAAAGTTGCAGAGACCCCTTGACACACACTTTTTGATCTTGACACAATTTTTTATGCACTTTACTAGATCGACAACGATTGCCCACTGCAGGACTTTACTTATAATTTTAAAAGCTTTTTAAATGTTAATATGGCAACTTTATAGATTAAGCGTTAGATTTTTGTAAATTTGGAATGGTCGGTTACTTTCTTTTTTAATTCGAACGTTTTTAAAAGTCGTTTCGCATTATTCGAGTTCGAGAGTGAGTCATTTGTTTCGTCTCTGCGTTTTCACATGAAGCTTGGTGCACACTTGAGCAAATAACAAAACTGAAACAACCTGTGAAAACAACGAAGCTAGGTAATATACGTGTTATTTAGAGGTTTGAGGTAAATCGTTTATTCATAATGAATCATTAAAACATTCGTTGGAAAATAACTAATTATGAACGTAATAACGTATTAAAAACGTGGGAATAAGGATTTGGGTAATTACATTTAAAAAAAACTAATTGCATCTAGCATTATTGGAATAACAATAATAAAGCTTCCTTATACGTCTTACACTACATGAATTAGAATCTTACTTATTTAAATTGAATACATAGTCTACACATGTACATAGCATTCATTAATTTTACATTATTTTACATTGAGACATATTTTCTATTATTTATAAAGGTCTCTAAGCGCTTAAAAATAAATATGCAGGAATATGTGACGTTACTAAGGCAAGAGCGGCACAACCAGTCTAACAAGGATACAATTTAAGTTTGCCTAAACTCAAAGGCAAAAGTTATTTTATTTATATATTTAAAACTTCATATACACACGTGGTGTATAGGCGGATTGCTTAAGAATTTTTTTTGCGATGTTGTCCACTTATGCTTTTATTCACCATATTTAGAACACACATATAAATTATTACATATACATACATATATATACATATTTTAGAAAAAATATACTTAATATCTGTACTGAAAGTACGGCAAATGGCATGTCATCCTATAATTTAAATAGATAGATGATATATTTATAAACTATGCGACCCATTACTATGCTAGTCATATATCAACATAGTTGAACGACTAAAAAAAATAAAAAAATCATATATTATAATAAGTGCAAACTTTTCATTATTTCATGTAAATTTATTTTAATATAGTTACGTTATTTCCAAAACATATTTAGTCACATTATAACTCACAGTAGTATTATGATCATTTAAAAATTAATTCGAAATTCCTTATACAACATTAACCGTTTTAACATTAAACGTCGTTACAGGAATTACGTTATTTTTAAAATATTATTTAACTTCTTTACTCTCACACTGTTAGATATCGCGTGTCTAGATTTACTAGGTGGCCGAGAGCCTTTTCTGGCTAGTGCTTCGGTGTAAGCATAATTAAATCATTTACATAATTCTGCCGCAATATAATGCAATTATAGCTGTATTCTAGTTTAAATGATAAGAGTACTGTAACTATAGACGTGCGACATTTTTTTTATAGAATAATGATGACAAACGAGCACATAGTCCACCTGATGGTAAGGGAACTCTGAAGCCCATAGACATCTACATTTTATCCTCGATCAAGAATCAAAATGAAAATGCGTTGCCACCCCTGAGGTCTAAGATAGTATGCCACATTTCCAGTAAAAGAGGTCTACGGTTGCCTACACCCACCATACGAAACACAGCAGCATTAAGCTCCTATTTTACGCTGTTATTCTAATTAAAGATTAAACACTCCTAAGAGTTGACACCACACCAGGAGCGACCCTTGAAATCGGTTACAAGTGTTAATAAGCAGGAATAGCCACTATAATCTTATGGTGTATTAAAAAAATTATACATTAACATCGCGCACTATGTTTTAGTAATACAAAAATATCCACGTTATGGGATTAAACATTAAAGGAGTAAATAATATCATTTCCAAGCTCTCATAAGATTCAACGTGAGGTCAAGAAAGTATCATGGTCATCTAGACATGAAAAGGTGACATCTAAAATGGAAAGCGTCTAATCTATAATCATAGTTTGGAAAAGGTCTATGTCCAGTAGTAAGTACAGTGGGCGATGATGACTGAGTGAATTGTTTAATAATTTTACCAACTCTACAAAATATATTCGCATGTATTCGTTGCAATTTCGATTCGTATATTATCCAGTCAGTATATTATTACAGTATACTACGCCACAATAAAATTGATTTTATAACTAAATCAGAAAGAGTAATCTTAAACATTTCTTCAGTCCAGTCAATACAAGCGTCTTGAACGTGTTAATTGTGTTAAAAAAATCTTTAATGACCACCAGTCAATGGTGACGGAAAGCCATTGATATTAATCAATTTCCTAAGTATCTTTAACACTTGAACCAACTGAGAAACCCAATGCTGCGGTTAATATTAACTCCTAATTATGAACGATCTTAAACATCGATAGCCGCTGCATATCTCCTATATGATTCTTGGAAGTGATACATGGTCCAGGTAGTTTTGTTGCGAACAAACCTTGTGGTTGATCCTTCTTTAAATGAATGCAACAAAACAACAATTTGCGAAGCGTGCCAAAAGAATTTACTACCTACCTAACATACAGAACTGGACTTGAATAATAAAGATTATTATCGATGGAAAGAAAAATGAAGGTATTACTACTACGTAGATGTGCTTAGGATGATGTAAGTACCGCCCAACAAATAATAACGCAGTAAAGTAATGAAATAATAAAATATATATCTCCATTTATTGGAGGGGATCTCATTTTAAATTAACTTAAAACTACAGTCCAGTTGATGATATATTTTTTTGAAGTAATTTAAAAAGAAGTGACCAATAACTGTACGTTTATTGTATTAGAAATATTTCTAATGCACGGTATTTCTGTCTGATCGCTGACATTTAAACGTTAAATTTCAAACCAATAAGGTGCCTTCTGAAGTTTTTGCTACCGGTAGAACTAGTTTTATTAAGCAGTAAACAAATGGTGCTGATGTCGTTTCATTCTGGCTTGATGACAGAAAGGATCAACGTTGTAAATTACGATTAATAAATAAAACGATATACTTAATTTGTTATCACCGATATCTTATTTAAAATTGTGGACTTAAAACTTTATTTCCATTTTTTTTCTTTACCGTCTCCTAAAAGTCTATAGCTAGATGTGGGTCATATGGAGCTCTCCCATTGTAGGCATGTTCCACAATCGGATTGACGATCGAAGCGTGTACCCAATTGTTTAATTAAAACGTCAAATAATTTACCATTATTTATAATATTTAAGTAATTAGTCACTGCAATAATCCACCTGATGAACATGACTGCCCTTTGATACCTTGAACTAATTTCAAACAAAAAATGACGGATGCGGTGTCACTTTAAGGGTCTAAGAAGAAATGTCTTAAAGGCTCAACATATGTTACTGAATTATTAACACAAGTCAATTCAAATATTTTTTAAAAGTTGTTAATACAAACATTTTTATATTTTAAGCACTAACAATAATTAACAAATGTCTCAAAATTATGTCCACTATCCAATTAGGTATTGGCTTTTTCTCCTCATACCGGAAAATAGCAGACCTATATCCATCAGCGGTCTTTTACAAATTCTGTAGATAATAATCAAAGTATAAAACTTGAAATTAGCTTTAAAAACTTCAAAATTTTCGCACCGTGTCACCATAGGGCATGAAACGTCCGAAACTTCATGTGCATTTACAAAACAGGTTTGGCAACAAAAGTAAAACCCTGGCGCCCCCTGTGCAGCACCCAACTTATCTGCACGAAACGCTCAAGGTCGCGCGATCTTCGTTTTCAAAATGCCCACCTCTACCGTGGGTCCGTGGGAATGAACGGAACAATGGGACGCAGCTGTGAGATGGATGCGAATCTTTAAATAAAATGTATTTATTTCAATCTCGTGTTTCCATTTTAGTACGGAATACAAATTAAGAACATCGTGATGCAAAAGAGAATGTAAACTGATTCTAGTTTTAATGATATGACCACGAGATATACTGAATTCAGCAAAAGATAAACGTTGGAATTCCGTACGATATTTTAACAAATTTATTGTGCTTATATTCTGTGACGTACCTTGGGGGAGGCCTTTGTTACCTAAGTGGGCTACAGTGAGCTACAGTGGGCTTGTGTAAGGTTGATAACAATTTATTTAATATAATTTATTTAATTATTAGTTAAAATTAGTCTTACTAGAGTACATTAAATGAAGCTATATATAAATGAATTCGCTGAAATTAAAACCGCATCATAAGGTCGCACAATGACACACTAGGGTCCGGATTTCACCGCATTGTTCGTTTTTGAAACTTGTTCACGTATTTATGTCTTACATACAATGTTGTTACGTCTGTTGCAACGCTTGACGAGTATTTCGGATGTTGTTATATATATTACACAATTTAGTCAATCTCCATCATGACAATTTGCCTTTTTTAATAGTGCGCAATTCTTTCGCGGGAATAATATGGCGACTTCGTCAAATCTTATGTTACATAAGATTCCATAATTTCGGTTTGTATACATCATCTTTCCAAAAAAAAAATTAACGTCTACCAGAAATGAAGTCTTCTTTAACAAATGTCAATTTGATTTCAAATATTGGCGTTTCGCCAAAAAAACCAAATAAAAAAATAAATAAAAAATAAAAAAATTACTTTGCATGAAGATCAGATACTTTAAATATTGTGTAAGTCCGCTACCAAAGTGTGACCATGTCAATAAATTT